GTTAGGGTGTGCCAAAAATCAAGTAATTACTGAAACAGCAGTTATAAATCTTGACGCATCTACTCGCGACTGGATAGAGGTATCTGATAAGCGACGTAACAAAAAAAATAAATTGCATGTTATCGGATCCAACAACAACATCGAACTTAACGTTGCTGTTGCTGCAAAACTAAAGGGGCTACATTTAGCTTCTTTTCTGCCAACTGTCAGTCCTAGTGACATCCTCCAATATGTGGAAAATCATTCGGGAATCAGTAAAGATCTCATGTCCTGCTTGAGTCTGGTTAAGAAGGACGTCGAAACAAGTACTTTAAAGAGCGTTAACTTTAAACTGGGTGTTCCTGAAGATGTATTCGGTAAACTGCTCAGGCCTGAAATTTGGCCCGCTAAGGTCACTGTACGCCCATTTCGTTTTTTTCAACGGAAACCAATCCAGTCGGCCAAAACCTAGCATTTGAAAATTCGAATGAATATTCGGAACGTGACGGTGCGCCCTCTCTGTTTTCTTCAGAACAGGTCCCTACAGTCGAAGACTCATTATATACTTCAAAGCCTATTAATGAATTAAGTAGAACTTATACGCTTTATTATCAGAATGTAAGTGGTATGCGTACAAAATCCTCTAAATTTTATCGTAGTGTTGTTTCACATAAATATGATATATTAGCTTTAACTGAGACTTGGTTGAATGAAAATTTGTCTTCCAATGAACTTTTTGATAGTTATTATCATATATTTCGTAAGGATCGTTGCCCGATCGCCACTGGTCTTGAGAGGGGTGGTGGTGTCCTACTTGCAGTCAGAGCCGATTTATGCAGCAAACTTATCACTATTAATTATTGTGAAGGGGATGTGGAGCAAATTTGTGTTAGTGTAAAATTTGCTGGTAACAAAACAGTAGTTTTTCTATTGTCTTATATTCCACCCAGCAGCGACCTCGCTGCTTACAAAAAGCATATGGACAACTTAATCTGTATAATAAATAACGCTAATCCGTCTGATGAGATAATATATTTAGGCGATTTTAATTTAAGTGACGTCTCTTGGTTAAGTGATTCTAATAATATTTTACCAACTAATCTCAGATCGGATATCGATATGCTAGTTGTAAGCACCTTGTTTTCGTATAGCCTAAAGCAATGTAACTCTTATCCCAATAACAATGGTAGATTCCTTGATCTAATTTTTGCGTCAGCTGATCTTAGACTATCATGTTTGGAGTGCCCGTCTCCTATTTTAGAAAATAGTTTTCACCACAATGCCTTGGTGGCTCATTTTGAGTATTATAATTTCGATAAAAAACCTACTGAATCTGCTGTTGAATATAATTATTTTAGGGCTGACAGTGCAGCGATGAATGACTTTTTACTAGCCACCAATTGGACTTTCCTGAACTCCCCTACTGGACCAGATACTTCGTACGCTATTTTGCTACAACGACTTTCGTTAGCTATTTGCAGTTTCGTACCTCTAAAGCGAACAATTACAAACAATAAACCACCCTGATTCAATTCGAAACTGAGTAACCTAAAGAATATTAAAAATAAAGCTTTTAGGAAACATAGAAAAAGTACTGATGAAGTTGATCGACTTAACTATGTAAGACTTAAAAAGAATTTCGATTGTCTTTATAAGTTTCTATTTAAACAATACATGCTTAAACTCGAATCAAAATTGAAATCAAATCCATCTAGCTTCTGGTCCGTTATAAATTCTAAGAGAAAGACCAATGGTTTCCCGGCAAGCATGGAGTATGATGGTGAAGTGTCCAATAATACGCAGGATACTTGTAATTTGTTTGCTAAACTATTTCAGAAGGTCTACTCAAAATTTACCGTTTCATCGATTTCTGCATTTCATAACTGGTATTTACCACCAATCTCTTCCTTCGAAATTACCGTCGATGATGTTCTTCTGTCAATTTCAAAGTTGACAAGCAGCGCAAAATCTGACAATGAGGGTCTTTGTCCGTTATTTTTCAAAATTTGTTCCGAAACCGTTGCAGATCCTTTGGCACTTCTCTTTCGACAATGTCTTAACTGCGGGACTTTCCTAGATTCGTGGAAACTATGTTCAATAAATCCTATATTTAAGGCTGGAGACCGCAATGATATTTGCAACTATAGACCTATAGTTAAGCAAAGCACCCTGGCAAAGATATTTGATCACATTCTTCAACGTAAGCTCTTTGATCACATTAGCAAAGCTATCGTTGAGTGTCAGCATGGATTTTTTCCCGGGAGGTCTACTTCCACCAATTTAGCCTTAGTCACTAATCGAATTGTCGATGCTTTTGAGACTCATGCGCAACTCGACGTCATTTACACCGACTTCTCAAAAGCATTTGACAAAGTTGATCACTCAATTCTGTTACGTAAATTGAAATTGTATGGAATCATTGGAAAACTGTTGAAATTTTTCTCCAGTTTTCTATCGAATAGGAAACTTTTTGTGTCAATTGGAGGAGTTAAATCATCTTTGCTTATCGATGCTTGGTCAGGAATTCCACAAGGGACTCACTGTGGTCCTTTATTGTTCCTTATCTTTATTAATGACCTGCCTCAACAATTTAAATTCGCTAAATGCTTAATGTTTGCAGATGATGTTAAACTGTTTTTGACAGTACGTAATATTTTTGACTGCATTAACTTACAATCTGACCTTGATTCTTTTGCCGGATGGTGCAATAACAATAACTTATTTTTAAATACGAACAAATGTTGCGTTGTTTCCTATTCAAAAAAGGTTGGCACCACTATTTTCAACTATAAAATAAATGCTCACTCGTTGAACCGTTCTTATGAAATTAAAGATCTGGGTGTATTATTTGACTCCAAACTCTCTTTCTCTAGTCACATTGACTTTATTGTTTCAAAATCGTTTGCAATGATTGGTTTTATTAGACGTAATTCCGTAGACTTTAAAGATCCAATGACGTTGAGATCACTCTACATTTCTTTGGTAAGAAGTCGTCTCGAATACTGCTCATTTATATGGAATCCATTCTATGAAGTACACTCATGTAAAATTGAGAGAGTTCAGAAAATATTTACTAAAATCGCTTTGCGAATGCTTCGTTGGCCTGATGGCCTGCCATCATATATCAGCAGACGTAAATTACTTGGCCTCCAGGCTTTGTATGAGAGAAGAACCTCTTCCTCGCTCTTGTTTGCCTATAACATAGTTAACTCTAACATTAAATGCTCTGATTTGTCTAATTTATTCATCCCCTATATTCCACCGCGTAATCTTCGGCATACTAGATAATTTATCGAAGTTACTTGTAAAACAAATCATGCAATGAATGAACCAATCGTTAAAACTATACATCTAGCAAATCGATATAGCAGCGTTTTTAATTTTAATAATAGTTTATATAAATTTAAACTCGAATTGTTTTCTATTTTTAACTAGTCTGTAATAAAGTTTGTAACTTTTTAGACTGAATAATAATAAATAAATAAATAAAAATCTGTAGCATCCTCCAGAATGATCAATTATCATTCCAACCATCCGTGGACGCAGAAGAAGCTCATTAAGAAAATATACGCCTTAAGTGACCAGGAATTCAGAAAAGACAACAGCAGGAAAATTAGAAACATATTACATAAAAACGGGTATCCACACAAAGCTGTTGAGAGGTTGATAGCAACAGCGAGAAACAAGCCAAAAGCAGCGCATTTCAACACTCAACCCGAAACTACAACAAAAGATACACAGGCGTCACATATATACAAGGATTAACGGATAGTAAAAAAATACGAAAAAGCATCCAAAACGAAAACATAACATTTGCACATAAACCACATAGAATGATCAATAGAATTTTTAGCAAAACAAAAGACGAAATAAACAAAGAACAACAACATAACGTGGTTTACGAAATAAAATACAATGGTAAAGATAGCGAAGCATGCAATAAAATATACATAGGCACAACGAAGCGCGCTCTCGGTATTAGAATAAGCGAACATAAAACCGACGCAAGAAATAAGAAGACAACGACTGCATTAGCACAACATTTAACGAATAGCGGGCATACAGCAGACTTTGAAAACGCGAAAATATTAGATGTGGAGAACAGAGATAGAACTCGACTTACATTAGAAAGTTTGCGAATACAACAAAAAATACAGAATGCAATGAATTTTAAGGAAGACGTCGACAATATAAATTGCGCATACAGGACAGCAATAATGGTCAATAGGAGAACAGACGAGCAGAAGTACACTTAAATATAATAAGTTGAAATCAGTGTGTATTTTTGTTATATTTTCTTTGTTTGATGTTCAATGAAAGTTATGTTTTGCGGGAAAAATTGTTACACCAACGTATTGTACTTGTTATAATTTTTATTTACATACATATGTGCCTAATTGTTTGTTTTTTATGTATTGTTTTCAATAAACACCAGACTCCCTGAGGAAGATGTGAAAAACATCGAAACGCGTAGGAGGAAAAAGAAACATTGTTTGCTTTTTATTGAACCGGCCGAAAAGCTCCTTAAACTACCCTATAGGAAATTGAAAGTTGGCCCTAGAAACATAATGGCTTATTGTTTTCCAATGGCAGCTTTATTTCCTGTTTTACCATAGGGTTTGCGGGTCTATGTGGCTGTACTTATTCTTTGCGGAATATCTCTTCAAATTTCTTTCTGTCACAAAAACTAGTTTCTTCGCCTATCTTATATTCGAAAGTATTCGCATCGTGTACATTTAGCTCCAAAATCTGTGATATGACCTTATCATTTCGTTACTTTCATTGTCTTCACTTTGAAATGTATCGTTAACTATATTTACATTACGTGCGTTCTTATTTGCTATCACACCCTCGTTAATGTTATCAACTTTAAATACATTGCTTCCAGTATCAACTTGTGATATTTTATGTGTTAATTCAATATTTCCAATTTTCAACTTTGCGTTACTTATGTCTATAAAATCCCTACCTAGTACGACTGGGTAACATATAGATTCATTAGGAACCACTACAATTTCAATCATAAAATTTTTTTTCAAAACGTTAACCGAAACATACATTTTTCCAATTACTTTTAATGTAGATTTGTTTAATCCAAAATAAGAATTCATAACTTTATCCAAACGCACTCGTCCAGGAACAAAAACCTCTTTGATTATACTTATAGGGCTCCCCGAGTCAATTAGGCATTCTATAAACATATCTATTTTAGGTTGTGTTAAAATACTTATATTGAAATAACTTACAAACTTTTTATCCGTGGCCTTCTTCTTGTATTTACCTCAATTGCCAGGTGCCCTTGTTGTCATCACGCATAACACGACCCAAATTCCCGTTTTGGCTTCCTGCACTCTTTCGCGAAGTGCCCTGTACAGATGCAATTGTAGCACGTCGCGGTAGAATTGGCAGCTTCCAAGTGGAGCTCCTGAAATACGCAAAATATAAACTGAGATAGCCACCCAAACGTGATTAAACTCTTGCGGCTTACCCGGAAAGATTGCAGTGCGTCGTTTCCGTAGTCGTGGTGACGGTCGCGCGTGTGGAATCATTTATATGGTGANGACATAGCGCTACTAAGTGAACCATACAAGGTAAGGGACTGCCAAATATGGGCCCAGGACGATGCCGGTCGAGCAGCGGTGTGGAGCTGCGCCATAACGCCCCTTCACATGGAACAACTAAAGGCAGACGTAGGTTTTGTATGTGTTCGAGTCTCTGGATTAGTCGTATGTANTTAACAATTTTCGCGGACTTGCAGACTGGAAAACATTTTACGAGCGACATAGCAGAAATATGCCGTGTTTACAAATAAAGCGTTAAATACAGCTGATCTCCTCGTTAAAAGTGGGAACAGTTTGGTTCGGCCAGTGGTAGTCAAATAGTTAAAGCAAACTTAGCGAAGTACCAAACCAAACAGCAGATATTGACTGAAGCTAGGGTGGTAGCAAAATAGCCCTGTGGGTTTGTGAGTATTTTTATTACAAGGTCGCCTCCACCGGGGCGAAATGCGAAGGCGGGTGGAAATGCAGCAGGTGGTGGTATATTGGCAACCGAGAGTGCGGACGTCATAAATCCTTTTGGAAAGCGCCCCAGACTGGCGAGCTCGCCTACAAGACCCTTGCCATCATCTCCAGGCGCGCATATGGCCCAAGCAGAAGATCAACCTACCGCGTGGGTTACTCTGGGAGTTAAAATACGGGAGTTGGTGGAAATGCTGGAAGACGGCAAAAGAAGGTCCATTCACCAACCTATGCGCGATATCATTGCCGAGCTGGCCATACTGTATGGCAAAACAAAGAATGCGCTACCGCGAAACGTGTTGAGTGCCGCTTGCCAAACNCTCTGGGAGTTAAAATACGGGAGTTGGTGGAAATGCTGGAAGACGGCAAAAGAAGGTCCATTCACCAACCTATGCGCGATATCATTGCCGAGCTGGCCATACTGTATGGCAAAACAAAGAATGCGCTACCGCGAAACGTGTTGAGTGTCGCTTACCAAACTACGCCTCAAAAAATCCCTGGGAGCGGTATACCGAGTAAAACTGGAAAGCAGCCAAGCACTGCGATAGAACGTCAGGAAAAAGTAATGACGCCAGCGAACGTAAGCGAAGAGAAAAACCGAGCAAATGGGGCGAACGATGGTAAAGAACCCCAATGGAAGACAGTAGAAGGAAAGAAAGGTCGAAGTCGAAACCCAAGTTGCCAAAGCCGGATGCGATAGTAATAAAAAGTCATGANTGGGCCCAGGACGATGCCGGTCGAGCAGCGGTGTGGAGCTGCGCCATAACGCCCCTTCACATGGAACAACTAAAGGCAGACGTAGGTTTTGTATGTGTTCGAGTCTCTGGATTAGTCGTATGTAGCTGCTACATACCGCCTAGTTTTACCCTCGATGAATTCGAAGCCGTCATGGATAAGCTTATCTTTAATGCCCGGACTAGATCACCCGTATTAATAGCCGGCGACTTCAGTGCTTGGGCCTTGCAATGGGGAAGCCGACGAACTAACGCCAGAGGAAGGGCTCTTCTTGCAGCACTATCGTCTCTGGATGTGGCACTACGCAACTCGGGTACCAAATTTGCATTCAGCAAGGATGGGGTGAGGTCCATTATTGACCTCACATTTATCCGCAGCAGGATTTTTCGACACACGTCTTGGGAGGTTAGCGACGAGTACACTCAGCGACCACATGGCTATCATTTTCTCGATACAGGAGGAGAGAGAGAGAGCAGAAAAGCCTGTGCAAGAGCAACAACAGGTTGGAAGGTCAACTCTCTAGACGAAGAGGCGGGAGTAGCCATGATGTCTGGCATTTCGTTACCCCACGGAGCTAGTAACATGGCGAACTACCTCATGGCCAAAATCACTCAAGCGTGCGATAATTCGATGAAGAAAAAAATACCNTAATGACGCCAGCGAACGTAAGCGAAGAGAAAAACCGAGCAAATGGGGCGAACGATGGTAAAGAACCCCAATGGAAGACAGTAGAAGGAAAGAAAGGTCGAAGTCGAAACCCAAGTTGCCAAAGCCGGATGCGATAGTAATAAAAAGTCATGACGGCAGTTAGTATGCAGAAATACTGCGAGGTTTAAAAAACGATCCCCAATTAAAACATTTGGAAGACGTGGTAACCAAAGTACGCAAAACCGGCAANAATTCGATGAAGAAAAAAATACCCGACCAGTCGACGTGCACCAGTTTATTGGTGGAATGAGCAAATAGCGGACTTGCGACTGCAATGCAACAGAGCGAGAAGAAACTATTAGCGTGCCAGAAGGTCTGAAAGCTTTACCGACGAACATGCTATGTACAGAGCTAAACGCAAGGAGCTTAAGCAAGCCATTAAGCTCANGCTACTCCTCCAATTGGCCAAACCAACGGATTCGCACACAGTGGAGGTTCAACAAGCGGTCAAGGAAACGCTGGGAGAAAAAGCGACGGTAGAGACCCTGACCGCAAAAACCGCGGTAGAAGTCAAGGACTTAGATGAGCTAATAAGCAAGCAAGAGCTCTGTTCTGCCTTAGAAAGGGAGGTCGATGGCAGCAAAATTACTGTAGAAGCCGTGAAGTCATTGGGAAGNGCAAGCCATTAAGCTCAGCAAGCGAAAATGCTTTACTAGCTTGTGTGAAAGCGTCCAAAATGACCCCTGGGGCTTAGCATATAAAGTTGTGACGAAAAGGCTGAAAGCGTCGGTTCGACCACAGGTACTATGCCCAAATAAGCTGGAGACGATAATAAAAGCCTTATTCCCAATGCAATCAAGTTTTGCGAGAGAAATTTTTCCTGCTACGATGGTCGAGTTCCCCACGGTGAGNGCGATAATAAAGGCGTTATTCCCAATGCAATCAAGTTTTGCGAGAGAAATTTTTCCTGCTACGATGGTCGATTTAAAGATAAAAAATCACCGGGGCCGGATGCAATTCCAAATCGTGTCCTCAAGCTTGCTGTAGCTGCGAGTCCTAAAGTGTTCGTCGATAGTTTTAACGAATGCTTTAAAGAAGGAGTATTTCCTGATGTATGGAAGCGCCAGCGGCTAGTTTTATNAGAGACCCTGACCGCAAAAACCGCGGTAGAAGTCAAGGACTTAGATGAGCTAATAAGCAAGCAAGAGCTCTGTTCTGCCTTAGAAAGGGAGGTCGATGGCAGCAAAATTACTGTAGAAGCCGTGAAGTCATTGGGAAGCGCGTACAGTGGCACGAAGACAGCAACGCTGCTGCTGCCAGCCGCCATGGCGAGCAAATTGATNGTCCTAAAGTGTTCGTCGATAGTTTTAACGAATGCTTTAAAGAAGGAGTATTTCCTGATGTATGGAAGCGCCAGCGGCTAGTTTTATTGCCGAAAACTGGGAAGCAACCAGAAGATCCCTCAGCATATCGTCCTATATGCATGCAGGATACGACGGGTAAGTTGTTCGAACGCTTAATCAGCGATAGATTGTTAGAAGCAATCGAGGAAAGGGAGGCCTCTCAGAGACACAGTTCGGCTTCAGAAAGGGGCGGTCAANGTCTGTCAAATAAGACTTAAAATGCACCCGACACAATGCTTCAAATGTCTAGAGTTTGGCCATCTGGCAAGAAATTGTAAATGCATTCACGATTCGAAAGGGGCGTGCTTCAATTGCGGTAATATAGGCCATAGAGCCAACGTATGTAAGAAGGAGAAACGGTGCGTAATCTGCTCCAGAAACAAAAAGCCAGACGTAAGGCACAAGACAGGCAGAAAAGACTGTCCGTACTATATAGAGGCGATACAAAAATCCCGGACATCATGAAGGTNCTAGATGCAGCCAGTTTAGTAAAGCAGTTGGCGAAAGATGCAATCAGTGGCGAAAGTTGGGAGGGAGGAGCAAAGGAGTACTGCTTGCTTGTCACCCTCGATGTAAAAAATGCGTTCAACACAGCAAGTTGGAAACACATAAACGCCGCTCTACGCAGATTCGAGGTACCCGCATACCTTCGCAAGATTGTAGACAACTAATTAGCAAATAGAGTGCTACTGAACAATACGGAGAACGCTGTCAAAGAACATAAAGTCTCGGCTGGAGTACCACAGGGTTCGGTTCTGGGTGCAATACTTTGGAATATCATGTGCGATGGTGTACTCCGACTATCCTTGCCACAACGAGTGAAAATTGTTGGATTTGCTGACGATATAGCGCTAGCTAGCTAGCGCTAACTTTCGCAGAAAATAGTTCAATCGTTCAGATCCAAGCATGGCTGGCCGAAACAGGACTCGAACTTGCGCATCAAAAAACCGAGACAGTTCTAGTAAGCAGTAGCAAAGTCAGAGAAGTGGCGACTATAAATGTTGGTCAACAAGAAATTACGTCAAAGGCGGCCTTAAAATACCTAGGCATAATGTTTGATGCGAGGCTTACCTTCAAGGCGCACATTGGTTATGCTGTCCAGAAAGCCGAAAAGGTGTCAGGGGCACTAACAAGTGTTATGCTGAACGTAGGAGGCCCGAAACAATAGCGTAGACGCGTAGTCGTGCGCAATGTGCTGCTCTATGGTGCACAAATCTGGTATGAAGCATTCAGCAAGACGTCATATGTACAAGAAGCAAAGTCTTTGCACAGATTTTGCGCCATCAAAGTATGCAGTGCATTCCGAACTACGTCCGAAGAAGCAGCACTAGTGGTGGCAGGACTCCGCCCCATTGACATTCTAGTGGAAGTGACAGGCCCCAGGCCTATAAACCAAACGAGACGCGAAGAGGTGACACAGAGGTGCTTGCAGCAATGGCAAACGAGGTGGGACCGCGCAGCCAGCGGTCGTTGGACGTACCGCCTCATACCCTCGATATCAAGGTGGGTAATTAGGGAACATGGGGAAGTGGATTTCCATTTGACCCAAATATTGACAGGGCATGGGTGCTTTAAATCATATTTATACCGATTTAAGCACGAAGACGATCCCTTCTGCACCTTCTGTGCAAAGGATATTATTGAAGACGCTGAATACTGCTTTTTCGTCTGTCCGAGGCAATCGAAAGGGATACTATGCTTGAGTCAGAAGATAACTGGTCCGTTGTTTGCAATTTGGCAAGCACAATTTTATC